CGAACTGCCTATGTTGTTCAGATACATAGTACCCCCTCTTCATTCACATTCATCACAACTACTGGAAAGAGAGTCATAACAACCTAAGATAATAGCCTACATCATAGTTGCCAAGCCATACGTCAAAATCACCCAGAGAATCGAACTCCGGCTTTCAAACCCTAGTTGTGATATAGGCATTATGATGGTTGAAGACAGTGCAATATCAACCACCGATAACCAAGACTTTTGTTTAATCCTAATCATCCAACACCTACCATTGATCCTACCCTTATGACACCCTTTGCAGACGATGCGGCACTTGTCCATTACAGACCAGCCCTTAACATAGGTTCCAAACTCAATTGGTTCACATATGTATCAAGTTACTTATCACCATTACCTGTTGTCAGGGTGGTGTGTAAACGAAGCGACCTTACACAGCTTATGCTGTGAGAGTTACCATCCAACATGTAAATAACCATCAATAGGTCATCTTATTCTACAAATTCGTGATCTTTAACGTACATGGTTTATACGCATACTATGAAATTCATTCCCAGAATCAAACTGGTAAATCCCGTAAATTAATTTATTACGATCTGCTTTGGCTAGGGGCTGAACTAGGATCTATTACAGTGTAACCTACAATAGGGTCTGAGTTGTTACCAACTAAGACAGGATGTCAATCCTTCAATAAAGAACTTTCACTAAAAACTTAATTTTTACTTTACATTATAAATATGATACAAAATAGTTTGTCCCTCCACTCATCAATTCGTGATTGACTATTTTTGTTACATTTGCTATGGACTTAAAGTAGGAGATAAGTAATATAATAAATACTATAGATTTTATTTATCGACAAAATCAAAGGAGACTAAATTGGCATTCCTGAAAACCTTTATTTCAGATGCGATCATTTTTTTCAGGTTGAAAGTCTATTATATTATAAGTTTTACATAACATTACATTAAAAAATTCCTGATACAGGACATATTTTCGATTTGCATAATACTTTTAGAATGAATTCTAAAAACAAAAGATTTACAATATAGATAGAGTTACAAAGAAATATTAGTAATTTAATTATTCTATCATGTTCTATTAGTTTCAGGGCATTGTGTCACATTTCTGTTTAGTTTAAATTTAAGTTTTTAGTTAGACTTTTGTAGATCAATGGCCCAATTATTCACTGGCTAATATGCCATCTGGCCATTATGTTTCAAAAACAAAAAGGCCTCTGAACAATTAGTTCTTGTTAGATTTTAAGTATAAATGAGGTGGGATTTTGCTTGAATAGAACGTATCAAATGTTCCATATATTCCCTAGATATAAACAATAGATAATATTAGCATATATCCCTTTCCTTTTATTTGTAACGAATAATGAAAGTGTATAATAAATTACGTATCTGATCGTATAGAATGCCGATGATTGTGGCAACCTTATTTACATAAATTTATGTTAGCTTTTCATTTATTATTAATAAAGACACTTAAATAAATAAACCTTCTGCTTACCTTTTCTATTGTTTATAACTATAAATGTTTCAAACTGCATGCAACACATGGTGCCTTCTGCCAGAAGATTAAAAAGAAATTATTAATTAATTGTATATTTCAAGCCCATATTGAATAAAATAATATATACAATAATTATCACTCGATACTGCGCTAAAGAAATATAACCACTTACTATCAAGATTGATCCTATGAATATTGTTACCCTTTTAAGTTCCTATTAATAGCCCGAATTCAGAATTTTTGGAACTGGTATTCTATTGAATATCTTGCTGAGAACTTTTCAAGATATACTTAACAGTATCTCAAGGAACTTTTCTATACTAGAGGAATAGAAGAAACTTGGACCGCTATTTTTAAATTGATATTTAGTATAAGATATCATAGAATTCCAGAAGAATTGTATATAATAATCCAACAAACCTTATATAGCATATTTATCAATACATAAGGATTTCTTTTAGATCTATTTATCATTCTTTACATCGCAAGTGAACCACATCTCCAGTATTGTTTAATGATAGTTTTGGATAAGATAATCCTGGAATATTAAACGATCTAAATTTTAATAATTTATTATTCAATACTAAACCTCTAAATCTTGAGCAATTATTTAGAGAAGAAAATCCAATAGTTGCCCAAGCAGTTGATCTTTAAAATTTAACAGCAGCTTTACAAGCTCTGCAAGAAGTCTTATAATCCTTTGAATCACCAAATGCAAACAATACCATTGTAAATTTATAAGCCCAAATGCAAACTCATGTGAATACATTGGCAAATCCTCTTAGAAGAGAAGCTCGTATAGTGGATATACCTAATTATTACAGAGAAAATCAAGATCCCATTGGATAGTTAAAAGAGTTCACATGAGTCTATAACACAAATGGAATTGCTGATGCCAGAAAATTAGAAGTGGTATTAGCCTACCTTAAGGGATCAACCTCTACCGGTAGACGACAAATTAAGCACTAGCAGCTAATAATGCAAATAGAATTAATGCATAAACAGGGAATAATAACAATACTGATTTTATTGTTAATTTCTCTACCACTTTTCGATCACAAACCTTAGTTGAAATTTGGATCACAGAGCTTGAACGATAACATCAACAACCTAATAAGACCATTGACGCCTATGCATGTACTTTACAAGAACTATACAGGAGAATTGAAACTCCAGCATTTACATATCCAGTTGCAATGAAAACTCATAGATTGGTTAATAGATTATTGCCTGAGTTATATCTGATAGTGAAACCCCATAATAATCAGACTTGGGATGCTGCGCTTAACTGTTCAAAGGCATATGAACTTACCTATCAAGACCAAAATTCTATTGCAGCATTACAACACTATCTATACAAACCAACGCCCTTAATGAAATGACTAGCTCAACAAATCCAGCAGTTGAATGTTAGAAGAAGAAACTTTAAAAATAACGATATATATATATTGTTAAATTTTCAATTAAATAACACGATTTTGACAACTTCTCAACAGAATAACTTTATTTGTTACCTATGCAAGCAGCTGGGACATATAAAGAGAAATTATCCTAATAGTTTTAACGTTCCAAGTAATAATCAAAATTATCAACATAATCAAACTACAGGAAGTAACGTACAAAATCCTACCTACCCAAATAACTAACCATTAACGTTGCTCTGGTAGCAGGAGACAACAATTTTAAAAACCCGCAGTTGTTACAATTGTTGTCATAATTAATGCAAGATATATGCAAGATCAACATTTAAACTAAATGGTATACCTTATGAGGGTGACGATACAGAACATTAGTTATTCCCTCAAACTTATCCTTGTTTGAAGCTTATTCAGAAACTAGAATACAAGCTAAAGCTGCTTAAAAAACTCCTTATAACTGAAACTAGGATGATGTAGAAAAAAAAGAGAATGATGTTGAATTAATACAACAGTTAACAAATCAACAGAAGAACAATAAGAATGTGCTGATTAAAACAAAATCCAAAACTGTAAAAAGAAAAAACCCTTTGGTTTCACCCATAAATAATATGGTTAATCCCTACACGTCTCAACAATTGTTCAATCAACCTGCCAGCATCAATAATGAACAGTTAATAGCCATAAATCCTAAGTTCAGACAGGCTATATTAAAAGCAATACGAAAGCCAATAGCAAAGAAACCAAAAGATCCAATTATTGTAGAAGAAAAAAATGAGGATATTAAATTGAACTATGCGAGTAAATCCGAAATGAGAGCCACGGCATTGTATTGTGATGCATATATCAAAAATGTGAAAATTCCGTTAATAATTGACTCCAGTTCTGCTGGATGTATAATTTTCATAAAGTTGCTTAAAGACCTAGATATGGAGATAACAGGAGCATCTAAAACAATAATGGTTAACATAAATGATGAAAAAAGAAGACCCTTAAGGGCTGTTACAGGTGTTCCTTTGAAGATCTTTAGATATGTGATCCTTTTTGATGCAGTTGTCACTGAAGCTGATATTTATGCTACCATTGTTAGAAACGATTGGCTAAAAAAGTACAAGCTATCATAAATTATCATAAAAGCCTTTTGACATTATATTGGAACAATGAGGATATTGTTGTTACGGTAGAATGTCATCAAATGTTACATGATCAGATCATTGAAGACAAAATAAATGCTGCTAATAATGATACTGAAGAAGTAGAACACATAGTTGAAAGTAGTGATAAGGAATATGAAGAAAAGGCTGATTTTCAGAATAGCTGTATTACTTCAACTAGCATATAACAACATAAGAAGCCGAACAGATTGAAAATGAACTCATTAAATAAGTAATTTGGAAGAATGATGTTATTAAAGAGTCTTATTACCAGTACAAAGAAATTGATAATGGATGTTTCCATGTTGGAGACCTAACTAAAAAACAAAAGGAAAAAGTTTGAGGAATTTATGAAGAAATATAAAGATCTTTTGTTTAGGCTTCTAACGAATTTGAATGAATATCTGTGGCTAAGCATTCGATCAACACAGAAACTACTACGCTGATACTGGACCTCGTAAAAATTACTGCGCCATAAAGATCTACATTAATTAGCGTAATTAACTTTGACAACATTTACAACATTTTTAACATAGTCAACTTCTTCAACTTATTTATATTTATTATCTTATTTATTATCTTTATCTTTATTATGTATTTTATCTTTATTAACTATTATTTATAAATTAGCGTTAGTTATAGTTTTCTTATAATTGTAATTTTGTATAAATAGGATAGAAAGTTGCTCTTGTAAAAGAACAACTCAAGAGTGCGAGTTCAAGTCTTAGAATCCAAGAGTTAAGGATCTCTGAGCATACAAATATACAATAAAAGGAATCTCTTTCTATACAATAATCTATACAAAACCCTTCAACGTGTCTAAAAGTGTTTATTTTTGTTATAAAGTTATAAGGTTACAAAGTTAAACCTCGTATTATAACCTTTACTAAGTGATAAACTTAAAGGTTGATCATGATAGGACTTATTTTATAGTAATCTTAGATTAATTACACATATTACTCCCTATTATCAAGTCATCGTTACCCTAAGTTCGACGGTTAAGCGTAGGGTTAACAACGATCATAAAGTAGCTTTTTTCAAGAATTTTAATTTTGTAGATCTAAAAAAAAACCAAAATGATTTCTTCTTTATAATGATCATCATGATTTTGGATTTTTTTATTTTTATTTTTATTAAAAATTACTATTACTTATATTTTTAAAAAAAATTATTCCAAAATAAAGGTGTAGGCGAAACCAAAATCTTAAAATCAAAATGTATTAGCTTTCAAGAACTAAATTCTGAAACTTTTTGATAATCCAAAACTAAGACAAAATTGGGAAAACTGACAAAATTGGCGAAACTAGACAAAACTAGCGAAACCTTCAGAAACTAGTTAGCCAATCAAAATAAATGCTGATTTAAACCTTTAATACTTTTTAAAACTAATCTATGCTAATTAATCAGTAAATTAATTAAAGTTACTATGCTATTTAATGCGCTGTTAGCTTAAACAGTTCGTCATTACGTTAACTAAGAATATTTGCTAACAGGGAGTTTAAGTGCGTCTAAACTATGGAAGAATAAACACAGATTAATTATGTTGAAGGATCATGTTGTCTTTATTGATATAGATTTAAAGAGTATGAAATTGTATATTGAGCAAAGATATAATTGTTAAAAGATAAATGTTATTGATTTATTAGAGAAATTGTAGTGACTCTGCCATTTATTGAAGCAGAAATACAAGATATTTATATAAAATACATCAATATGAAATAGATATTTAA